CAATTATCAATGGATTCAAAAACACCAAAAGCATATGAAGTCATGTGAAAATCATCAAACTTAGAGGGTTTCTTACGATCCCTTCTAGTCCTATCTCTAACAAGTTGATAATCATGCAAATCAACATCATTTTCAGGCACATTTTCCACATATTCATCATGCACATCGACATTTTCACCATTTTCAGCATGTTGATTTTCAGTTTCAGCAATTACAGGTTCGGTTTCAGCAATTTCAGCATGTCGATTATCAAGCACAACACGTTCAGTTTCAATTTCAGCATGCATATTTTCAAAATTATCGAAATCACTTAAACCACTCAATTGCTCCACCGCATTTGGAGCATTTTCAGATTCATCAGGTAAAGGAGCAGACAAAGAAGCAATTAAACATGGCATTTCAGATTCATTGAACACAACATCACGACTTATTACGACCTTAAAGCCGGGTACACTTCTAAGCCACAATCTATAACCTTTAACACCATCAAGATATCCTAAGAAAACACATTTCATTGAGCGAGGTTCAAGTTTATCAAGTTTTGTATGACAAAACGCAGCACAACCAAAAACATGCAAGTTTGAAAAATCAATTTCCTTTCCAGACCAAACAAACTCAGGACATTTATCATTCAAAGGCACGGAAGGAGACCTATTTATCAAATAAGTAGCAGTTAAAACAACCTCACCCCAAAACTTTTTTGAAAGACCCGAACTAGACAACATACACCTCACCCTTTCAAGTAAAGTTCTATTCATTCGCTCGGCAACACCGTTTTGTTGAGGGGTGTAAGGCACGGTTTTATGCCTTTGAATACCAGATTTAGCACATAATTCATCAAACAAATTATTGCAAAATTCAAGTCCATTATCAGTCCTAAGAATTTAATTCTTTTTACCGGTTTGGTTTTCAATCAAGGTTTTCCAAGTCTTAAACGTTTCGAAAACATCAGATTTATTTTTCAAAAGAAACGCAAAGACTTTTCTTGAAAAATTATCTATCACAGACAAGAAATACCTACTCCCGCCATGTGTCGGAACACTAGCGGGACCCCAAACATCGGCATGCAAATATTCAAGAATATCCGAACACATAGAGGGTTTAGGGGAAGGTGAAACAGGAAATTTAACACGTTGTTGTTTGCCAAGTACACAAGAATCACAAAACGGCACACAAGATAATTTATCTTTACCAAAACAGCCCGCTTTATGCAAAATTTCAAGACCACGACTACTCATATGACCTAAACGTCTATGCCAAAGATCAGTTTGGTCCACATGAACAACATTCAGAGAAATTTCAGCAAGTGATTCACAAGTAGCAGTGCAAACATACAAGTTTTTCCGTTTTTCAGCTTTGAAAATAACCAATGAACCTTTCAAAATTTTCATAACCCCTTTACCCCATTTACCCTCTAACCCGTCATCCTCAAGAGCAGCACAAGAGATCAAGTTATGGCATAAGTCAGGAACATGACGAACATTTTCCAAACAAAGCACATAACCAGAATTAAACTTAAGGCACACATCACCAATACCAGCAACATCACAAAGTTTTTCATTTGCTATAGAAACAGAGCCATTTTTAACCTCTTTGTAGTTTGAAAACAGATTTCTATATGGAGACATGTGAAAAGTGCAACCGGAATCAACAAGCCATTCATTTTCACAAAGATAAGAATGCATAGAATTCACATTAGCATGCATATCACATATTTCAGTCACCACAAATACATCACCAAGTTTATCACTACACGAGGCCACATTAGCTTGATTCTTTTTAGGTTTAGTGCACTCTTTAGCATAATGTCCAATGTCACCAAAATTGTAACACTTACAATTTTTCGGACGGGATTTAGAACGACTTTTTCCTTTACCTCTTTTCTTTTCAGGTTGGTTACCATTATTATTAGAAGACTTTTGATTTTGAAATCTATTTTGTTGTCGACCTCTAACAAAATGAACCTCACCCGAATTTTTACTCCCCTTATGAGCTTTTAAATCTAATTCTTTACTTTTTAATGCATTCACAACAGTGTCGAGTGTCACATTATCCCTACCGTACTTAATAGCAGATTTGACATCACTGTAAGAATCAGGAATAGCATTTAAAAGCACAATAGAAGTATAATCATCAATATGCTTATCACCGGTCAATTTAATGTCCTGAACAAGTTTAGTAAACACATCGAGATTCTCATCAATTTCTTTCGAAAGATCAAGTTAAAATCGGAAAATTTTTTCAAGCAAGAACAATTTACTCGACAACGAAGTTTCAGTATATAATTCTTCTAATTTTTCCCACAGATCTTTTGCAGAATCAAGTTTACCAACCTTCCTAAGCACAGAGTCAGACAAATTCCAGATAATTGACGAGTAAGCAAATTGATCCATTTCAGCAATTTTATCAGAAGGTTCATCGGGTGGAAACGAGCCTTCAACGACTTTAAACACCCTCTGTTGAATTAAAATCCCTTTCATTTTTTGTTGCCAAATTGAAAAAACAGATTTCCCGTCAAACGGGGCCACATTAAAAGCTGGAAACGAAGCCATTTCACAGAAAACACAACAGATTTCACAGAAAATACTAGCACAAATTTCAGCAATTAACACACTCAGTTTTCAACCCAAGATCAGATTTTTCAGCAATTAAATTCACAGAGAATTCAGTCCAAATCAAATTTCAGCAGTTTAAACACGCAGTTTTCAACACAATTGATTTTCAGCAGCAAAAAATGATGCACAAAGACTAAAAAAAAAAAATAACAGAAATTCAGAACCAAGCAAATTTCACCGAAATTAAGCAGCAAGACAGCAAAAAATACACAATTTAATGCTAGAACCACAAAAAATAGCCACAACAGAGCAACAAAGATAAGCACATTTAACACATAGCATGCATATCTAACCTATTGATCTAGCAGCTAGATTCCCAACACACAATCCTATTCTCTGGACGCAATCCCCGTCCAGAGGCTACAATAATCCTATTCTCTGGACGCAATCCCCGTCCAGGGTCTACAATAATAAGAAATCGGTAAACAAATGAGTTAGAGCCAATACCAGAGCGAGCCCTAAGACGTAGGTGCTCCACTTACCTGCGGTGGCGGGACGGCTCTGATACCACTGTTAAGTGGCCGTCCCGATCCCACCGCTTGACCCATTCGCAACGGAAGCTCGTCTTTCTAGTCGTCTTACCGCAATGCAGTCCCTTATAGGTCTCCCGGTCGTGCTGCTCGTGTCCAGTGGACTACCGGTCAGCTCTCTTACAGACCCGGTAAATCCCAGCAGTGCGTTAATCCCTCGATTCAGCCCGTTTTACCCTAAACACAAACACACAGTTTGAGTCTTAGTGAACAACAATAATCAAAAGTAGAAATATAAAGAAAATGCTGTAAACATAAGGAAATAAAGGGTAGAATGCTGGAAAAAGAAGGGAATAAAAGAGAAGAACGGAACACTCCCTTTTAACCGGCGATTGGAGACGATGGACACGAAGTCTGGCTCAGATTATCATTCTTTCCGGCACCCTCGGTAAGTAGCGGCTCGGTGGTGGCCAACGGACGGCAGCCCCGGTTCCTCGGCCCAATCCCCGGGCTGCTCTTCCTCACACAAGCCAAACACCCGGCCACTCTGTCGCAAAGCCCCTCCTCTCACAACGAGATTCGCCGGAAAGCACCTCGCAAGGGCTTTAGCCAGCGGGCTGAGCAGGGCGACAGCGAGGCGGCACAACGGTGGCTCTCACGACAGCACAACGGCGGTACTCACACTCAACGGTCACAAAGAACAGAAAAAGAGAGAGACTTAGAGATCATCAATGTGTTTTTCTCACAGAGAGAGAGAAATCGGTTTTAGGCGCAGCAGGGTGAGAGAGAGGAGAGTGGGATGACTGTTAGGGTAAATCAGAGGAGAGATAATATATATAGTGTGTAATGGAGGGTTAGGATTTAATCCCTAAATCCAAGGGTCCAAATTAATCTGCCAGGTAAGTGGGTAAAGGGCCAGGCCCAGACGGGAATGGGCCGGGGCTTCCTTGGGCCTGAGATAGGGATCTGGTTTTGGGCCAAATTCCCAACAGAAATCTTTCCTTTCATCTTGCCGCCGACGAAAACCTTTGCTGCCAAATCCGTTGACCGATGCTACACGCCGCGACAACATGAATTTCTTTTGAAAATCGAGTGTTCAAACAATAGTTAATGGTGTTGCTGGCCGAGCACCGTCGGAACTCATGTCGCCTCGTTTAGCCACCGACAACTGGGAGCACAGTCGAAGCTCTTATATCTATCCGTCCTCACCTTTGGCAGCTAACCACATTGACGGAAACCTGTTCCACGCGTGAGATTCGTCCTCAACCTTTCACTGAGTGCCTTAAAATTAGTCCGAATGGAGGTGACCATAGAGGGCGACGACAGTCTGAACACGATGACGGAGAGGGATGGTGAGCGATGCTGTTCACGTCGAACCGATCAATCGCGACGACCTCCTATCAAATTCAATTTATTAATTTACTTATCATATAATTAATTTAAATATTACAATAATAATTTTTTAGGCAAAATTGCATATAAAAGCACCACCTTTTATGTTTTTGCAATTTAATCACCACCTTTGTAATTTAGCAATTTAATACACAACTTTACTTATTTCTTGCAATTCGAATCACAGGGCCCAATTTCGGGCCTGTTTTGGTGACGTGGCATTTTGTGGTGACGTGGCGTTTCCACGTGTCAATGACGGGGCATCTTTGGGCTGACGTGGCAGTCTATGTCAATTAAGAAAAAAAAAATATATATATTTTGTAGAAAGGGGGGTTTGAACCCTGGTCTCCATGGGAGAAAAGTAACTATGCTACCAAATTAACGTATTTTTCGATTGACTAAAGACATTGATGTACCCAAATATCAACTCATACGACGCCGTTCGAGTCACAGAAGTCGGATCTGAGAGCTGAAATTCGGGAACTGCGACAAAAGGTAAGTGAACGCCGATCAGCGAGCAACAATGGCAGAAAACGAAACCGTCATCAAGCCAAAGCCTCGGCCAATCATACGCATCGGCCTGTTTCTCATTGCCCACAGTCTCTTCGTAAGGTATATTCTTTCAGTTTTTGTAATAATCTTAATTTCTTAGGTTTAAAGAAAACATGGAGACTGACTGTTTTTCAATTGGTAATGAATTGTTCAGTGTGGCATGCTGCATAGCAGGGATTGTAACTCTTCTCCTTTTGCCTCTTCTCGCGAAGAACACTTATGTCTCTGAGAATGCTCTTATGCCTGGTGAGTTTCACTTGTCCGTTCCCCTCATATTTCTTATTAAATTTATTTTACGGATTATGGTGCTATTTTATCCCTCTCTGTTTTTGAATCATCCTGCAGGTTCTGCTACTCCTATGCTCTCTCACAACGATGCTTCGGACGGGCACAGTTTTTCGAACCGGATACTGAATCTGAATTCACAGACTGGCATGTAGGTATTTTCTGTTTCACCTGTGCTTGTATATAGGCTACAGAGAATCTTGATTGCAATCGGAAAGCTGCATGAAGAGGAGACACTTTTTAATTCATATAGTGATATGTTTTCAGGGCTACTGAACTTTATTCTCCTTAGGTTCCAGTGACAATTGAATTTAATTACAGAGTGTTGAGTTGATATATATGAAGAAGTCAATCGTTAAGTCGACTAGCTCAACTTCTGAAGCAGAAGAGAACGCTGTTTTGTTTTGGACAACATTCCAGTATGCTAGAGGGTCTGCAATTGCAATTGAACTGTACATTCTCAACACATTTAGATGAAAGAGAGACAAGTTGCTTTTGCATGCAAAAGGAACCTCCAAATGCCCTTTTGTATTCATGCTATATCTCATACTTTTAGTTTTTTTTGTTTGTGTGTATGCAAAAGTGATATGCCGTTGCCCTTCCCCATTTATATTGATTTTTTTTCATACAACTGTTACAACCTTTTGTTCAAGTGGTTGCTTTAAACATTTTATATGCAGTGAAATTCCTGAATTGATAGCAGAACACATGATGCAGTTGGGTGGCGAAACTAGCTACCACATGTTCCAACCAATACCTAACAAGTTTCACCCCGTACACTTTTTCTTGGGTCCTGATGCTGGAATAATAAAAGAAAACCACAGCTGTACCTCTTATGGGATCAATACGGTTGGAATTATAAGGGCTCCACGTGGTGATGGGAAGGAAGCCATAGTAATTGTAACACCTTATAATTCCACAGATATAACATTTGGTGAGGCTTTATCTCTAGGGATTGCTTACTCAGTCTTCTCTCTCCTATCTCGAGTTACCTGGCTCGCAAAGGATATAATATGGCTTGCTGCCGACTCGAAACATGGAGAATTTGCTGCGGTTGGTTCGTGGTTGAGAGATTATAACACACTTTCTTTTGGTGATTTAAAGTCACATCAGGAAATATGTTTTGAAGGTAATATATTGTCGGATAAACCCTTGATGTTTGATCTAATCCCAAAAAAAAAAAAAGCCATATGACTTTCAAAATTTCAAATTATACATCTCAGATTTTGTGTTGACTTGTGTTTACTATAGATCCTTACTCTTAACACTGAATCATACCTGAGGGGGAATTTTTGGAAGTTTATTAGAGTTAGATGTTTCTTTTGTTTTGTTTTCTCTGATTTGGCCAAACATTTTGGGTACTTTCTAGTTCACCCATTTTTAATTATTATCATGTATATTTTAAGCACCTCGTTGTGGGTGTATGAATAAGAGTAGACCCAGGACCCTGCCTTCTAAATTGTAAATAACTACTGAGATACATTATTCGGAAGGAAAATGTAATCTCTCATTTTGTGGTGCAGGTACTTTGGGTGATCGTAAAATGACTCGAGTTCATGGAGATGCAATATCCAGTGACTTTCGAAGAGCTGGCACAATGGCAGCTGCCCTTGTCATTAAGGTCGCTGATAGCAGCATGGAATTCGGAAATGACGTTCTCAACATATATGCTGAGGCTTCTAATGGGCAGATGCCAAATTTGGACCTCATTAATGTTGTTAATTATTTGGCGGTACATGGGCAGGGCTTACAAGTTAGGGTGGACAAGGTTTGGTCGTTGCTTGATTCGTGGTGGTTAAAAAGTCTTGGAAAATTATTTGAGGTGCTTGGTATAGTAGGTAAAAGCTTAAATCCACAATGGAAGTTTGGTATACCTGCTGCGGATTATGTTGACGGCTGTGCCACTCTTGCCAGTTCCTTATATAACCAGGTAATGGCCTCAATTTTGATATGCTAGTATATCAACTATTGTCGAAAGCTACAACTGAGCTTTAGGCTAAAAAAAAGAGTAGGATGACTGTTATCTTTAAAATTATAAATTACCCTATGGCATTTGTTTCTCCTTTAGAAGTTGCACTCATAAAAAAACAGTGTTTTTTAGGGATATGCAAACCTAAACAACATAATTGTTACATTTGAAAGATACAATTTTAATTTTGAAAGTAACTCCATTTTTTATTAATTAGGCGAAACCTATGTGGTAGTTCTTGGGGCCACTATCTGTAGGGTTGAGTTATTGTGATTTTTTTGGTTGGCTTTCTCAGCCTAACCTTCTTATATCTGTGAATGTAACAAAGGGTTTACTTTGTTGTTTGAATTGTTCTGTATGAGGCTTAAATGGCTAATATTCTTTCTATTTTGGTAAATGTTCGTTTGTCACTGTTAATTACTAACGTATTTGTTACATTAGGCATTAGGTGTTCCCACCGGCCCACATGGTGCATTCCGTGATTATCAAGTTGATGCGATCACTATGGAAATATCACCAAAGTATTTATCCTCAAGTCAGAGGATTATGTTCCTACAGCGTGTTGGCAGGTCATTGTTAATTAGGGCATTTTGTCACCTAAATTTGGTTAACCAATCAAAGCATGTATGTGGTTCACGGTCATGATTTTTTTTGAGCTTTTCGTCCTGATAATTATTTGTTAATATTAGGTTAATTGTGAATACCTACCCTTTTGGGAGTGGGATAGTTATGAAGAAAAACTAGAGAAGTTTCAAAATAAGAGAAAATCTCTTTGAAGTTTGATGCTACTTAAATTTTCCCAGACTTCACATGTAAAAAATATATCAGCCCCCACCAACGTTCATAATAGTTCTACAGCATTCCCTTCATCTTAAGACAGAAGGAAACATCAAGCAACTAATGTAATTTTTTAACACGTTTAGGGGTAGTTTTGTAATTAACATTAAACAAATTCTCTTTTTCTTGTGATGCTCCATTATTTTTTTTCTAGATTTAATATATTTTTTTCTGAAAAAGAAATATGCGTCTGTTTAATTGTTTATTTATGTATAAGTTCTATCTGAGATTGAATTCTCTATGTTTGACAGGTTGGTTGAAGGAGTCATACGATCCGTGAATAATCTCCTCGAGAAATTTCATCAGTCCTTTTTCCTGTATCTTTTAACATCTCCAAGTAGGTTTGCTTCAGTTGGAGTCTACATGATTGCCTTTGCTTTACTCGTGGCTCCACTTCCACTAGTTTCTGCCTCTCTTTTTTCCAATGCTAGCGAACTTGGAAAGAGCAATACCGAAATTTCATTCAACCCATCTTGGAAATGGCTTAGCGCAACAAGAACCGTTCTTATTGTCCACTTATGGGGCGCATTCGTAACCTTACTTCCTTATTTTACCTCCTCAAACCATGATTCCTCGCCTTCAGTCCACCGCTCGGCTTGGGTTGTGCTTTCTTTGCTTACCCTCCTATTTGTGTTTGCAGTATTTAATTCTTTTTCAATTTTAAAGAAAAACCAACCTCAGATAAACGAATGGGCTCTCGTTAAATCGGTGACAGTGGCTGCTGCTTTCGTTGGACTTTGTCTAATGTCTGTTATAAATTTTGCAACGGCTGAAATTGGTTCATTAGTGTTGGTGCCGATGTGTTTGACAGTTGCGCCCTTAAGGCGAAAAGTAAATTCTGTGAGAACATTCATCCTTGGAGTGTGTAGTATGGCATTGGTGTTTGTGGGCTTTCCTCCGGTTGCGTTTCTTTTGTTAAAAGGCGGGTTGAATGGATTTGACACAGTTGGATTTGGCGATTTCTGGGTTTGGGCCGAGTCGCTTTGGGCTTGGAATAGTGCGACTTATATTTACTTATGTATGGTCCATCTTCCTTGCTGGGTTTTATGTATTCACATTCTGCTACATCCTTCTTGAAGTGCTCTAGCTTTCAAGCCAGTGCCTGTCATAAATTGGTCGGCAACGGAGCTATACACATTCCCTATGCTACAGAGTTATAATTCGAGCAGTTTATGGGTTGTCAAACTTTCCACCTTGTTGGGTTTTGTGGTCTCATGATTCTAATTTGTTGTACCTGAGGTTTTTCCAGCCTAATTAGTGATCTTTTTAGATTATGAATATGTCAAGACATTTGTGAATGCTTTGCTAGAGGGCATTCTTAAGGTGAATATTTGTGAGGCTACAACAAACATCCGAAGGATACTGGCAAATCGCAAGTGATAACTGAAATTATTTGTATTTGGATAAACGTCGGCACGTTGTAATTCTGAGCAAAACTCAGACGATAGCTGAGATTATTTGTAGTCGGATGAACGCAGGCCGTTCTAATTGTTCTATTTTAATAATGTGATCAAAAAACGTCTTGCATTTTGCAATACAGA